TGATTATCTTTTTTAAATCTTTGTTTGATTTCACTTCTATAAAGTAAGAAACACTATCGTATAAGGGAACATGCATGGAAACCAATTATGGAGGAGCAAAGGTCAAGAATTTCACTAAAATATTAAACCTGAAATGAGACTGCGGAATAAACTTTGTTTTTTAAACGGGCGACGACGACAGGATAAATTAATTGTCGTGTGTTAGCTATAAATTATGAATAATACAGACTCGACATTTAAAAGGAAAATGTCAATATATTTGTAAGAAAATGCAAAAGTGAATGGTATCATATCCAATGGTCTCTCTTGAGAACAATTTTAAAATAAATCACTTTTATTAATGTCAATTACCAATAAAAAAAGAAAACGAAAATTGTTGTTCGAAGGTACGTAGTTTTTCAAACTATAAAACGAAGCTTGTATATATTTTGGATTTATCGAATATTATAAATAGAACTACGTTCAAGGTATGTTTGAAACGATTAGCAATATATATTTATGTTTTCTCCTGAAGAAATCCACGTTGGAGCTTGATGTTTGTTGCACAAAAAATCCATGCTCATCTACAAGAACTTCATGTCTTTTCCCGAGGAAATCGAAGTTTCTCTACAAGAAGTTTGGGGTTTTTTCGGAAAAAACACGAAGCTCTTGTGAAGAAAGTTGGATTTCTAGAAGAAAAAACGTTTAATTTGTGCCTTCTAATACTGTTAATAATACATGAAGTTCTTGTGGACTAGCATGGATTTCTTCTTGCTTCGTGAAAGACATTGTTTGGGATTTCCTGGCGGAAAGACATGAAGCTATTGTGAACAAACATGGATTTCTTCAGGAAGAAACCTGAAGTTCTTATAGAGAAACTTCGATTTCCCCGGGGGGAAATATGAAGTTCTTCATGCGTTTACAATATGCGTTTCTTCAGAGAAAGAGATGAAGTTCTTGTTTAGAAATATGGATTTGGTCAGGAAAAATAGGAAGGTGTTGTAGAGAAACTTCGATTTGCTTGGAAAAGACATGAAGTTCTTGTTAAGAAACATGCCTTTGTGCTGGAAAAGATATGAAGTTCTGGTGGAGAAACTTCGATTTCCTCGGGAAAAGACATGAAGTTCTTGTGGATGAGCATGGATTTTTTGTGCAACAAACATCAAGCTCCAACGTGGATTTCTTCAGGAGAAAACATAATGTTCTTTATCCGTTTACAATATGCGTTTCTTCAGGTGAAGAGAGGAAGCTCTTGTGTAGAATCGATTTGTACAGGAAAAGGTGGAAAGCCATGCGCTACCCGTGGGAGAAACATGAAGCTCTTATGAAGAAACATGGATTTTCTTCAGATAAAACATGAAGTTCTTGTAGAGAAATATGTATCTCGTCAATAAAAACAGTAAGGTGTTGTGAAGAAACCGGGATTTCTCATGGGACAAACATGAAGCTGTTTTGAAGAAAGGTGGATTTACTCAGGAGAAAACATCAAGTTCTTGTTGAGAAAGGTGAATGTTTTGAGGGAAACACATGAAGTTCTAAAGGATAAACATGGATTTCGTTAGGAAGAACATGAAGTTCTTGTGCAGAAATATGGATTTCCGCATCAAAAGACATGAAGTTCTTGCAGAGAAACATGACTTGCTTCAGGAAAAGACATGAACTTTTTGTGGATAAACATGGATTTCGTCAGGAAAAAATAGGAAGGTATTGTGCAGAAAGATGGATTTCTAGTGGAAGAAACATGAGGCTCTTGTGATGAAACGTGGATTTCGTGGGGGAAGAACATGAAGCTATTGTGAAGAAACATGATGTTCTTGTAGAGAAACGTCGATTTCCTCGGGAAAAGACATGAAGTTCCTGTGGATTAGTATGGATTTCTTGTGGAACAAACAGCAAGCTCCAACATGGATTTCTTCAGGAGAAAACATCAAGTTCTTGTGGAGAAAGATGGATTTCTCGTGGAAGAAACATGAAGCTCTTGTGAAGAAACATCGATTTCTTCAGGAAAAAGCATGAAGTTTGTGGAGAAAAATGTTTTTCGTGAGGACAACAATTTGATGGCATTTGATATATTACCATGATTTGTAGCGGAGCAGCTATCCAAAAAGCTTCTATGAAACTTATTGATTTCACATTGTTTTATAATTGTATTCATGGCTAAGTTTTGTATTAAAAAAGCAAACAAAAGCGTACAAGTCGTTTTTGAAAAACATAGTTATCGTTTAACTTATAACAAAAAGAGTACTTGATGTGCTAATTTTTATCTTCTTTTATGTTTTTTTTCTAAATTAGCGATGATGTTATGCAATTTTTTTTGGTAAAGTGGATTATTCAAGAAACTTTGTTGTACAACAGTAACCGGATCAGTTTGTATCCAATCAATATCAGTTCGTTTTGCTAATTCTTCAGGTAAACCACATAGTCCTTTGACACAGCCCTGTCCAGCTTGTGCAAATTCTTTCCCGCAGCATATCCAAATTAACGGTGGTGGTCTATCTTTTCCTTCTAACCTCGCTAGTATACATTCTTGTTCAGCTTGATTTAATGTTAGTGTTTTATTTTTCTCAATACTGAATACAAATGCTGGATGGTATACACAATGTCCAAATTCTTGTTTTTTTGGTATATAAACTACTAGACATTTTGGACATAATTTTTCTTTTTCTTCGTCGAGACGTTTTTCTTCATCTTCTTTTAATTGTTGTAATTGTTGCTCTGTTTTTTTGAAGTCAATATCATCAACTACTATCCATTTCAAAAAAGAAGAAGCACGGCCATTTCTTTGATAACTTTTTCTAAGAAGCAGCTAAAAAGGTGCGGTTTTCAGTATCGGAAAGCGAAATGTTGGGGTAATATGAAAAACTAA